TAAAAAACCCAGGCGGGGTTTGGGTCAGACGAAAAGTGTATATTTTTTGAGGTTGGGTTTGGGTCGGATGGAAGATTTATAATTTTCGGATCGGGTTGAGTAGACCGAAATTCCGACCCGACCATGCTCATCCCTAGGTGGAAACTTGAACGAGAGTACTCCTCCTCATAGTCCCTGTTTCTATATATTTTCAATACACTTTAGAATATGATGGCTGGCGAGTTGAATTATAAAATAATTACTTTCTTACATGTCTGCCATATAATTAATTCAGCTCTCACTTTGAACTTTAAAGGTAAAATTCAGATGGAGAATATAGCATCTGTAAATTCCAAATAATTGACAACCAAAAGTTGAATAAGCTTCGTGGAAATGGAAAAAGTAAAGGAAATTTTTAGTTGGTCTTCTTCATGTGATCTCATATGTTTTAGACTTGCATTGTTATCATCGATTTCTATATGAGCCATTAACTTTCGGCTCATAATATGAAAATCAACTGGTTTTCTCGAGAAATATTAATAAATAATATATGAAGTTAATCAATGAACATTGAATTAAGAATTAATTCATCATAATTAATGAAGCACAACATAGGATCAACAAGTAAATACCACTGTTTTGATCTGATCTCTCTTCGTTGTAAATTCTGGTTTCTATGCAACCTTATCCATAGCATGACGTTAAAGCACTTGTAAATGGAGCACATTGGTTAATGACAGTGACATAACTCAAAACTGCTAATCAAAACAACCCGTTAACGAAACCCAAGGTTTAGAAGAATCTAATAAGTTTGTCCCATCTGTCGTTCAAAAACAACCGGTCTATATATTTTCCATTGAGTTCTCCAGAACCGCGGCCTTTTTAATCAATTCTTCAAAACTCACATGCTACTTTTTGTTTGCCGAGAAACCAAGTGAGATTGTGTGGAGATGAGTGCCTTGACAGAGGGTCTAACCCAAATTCTGATACTTGTAGCTGCCTTGCTGGGCATTGGTTTTTCTTTGCTTCAATGGTTTTTTGGTCTCCAGGGTGAAACTCACATCAAATGATTCAAGCAATGGAGTTATACAAAAACTGATCGAATCCGATGAAGAAGAGGAGGGCGTTAACCAGCTTGAGATGTCCATCAAGTGTGCTGAGATTCAACATGCCATCTCTGTTGGTGAGCTTCCTTTCCTGTTACTTGTAAACTTTACAGGTTTTCATTTACTTTTCTTCGACTTATTTTCCCTTCTGCTGAATCTTTTAATCTAAAAACATTGATGAGATCGATACCATACCGTCTGTTGCTATGTTCCCAGGTGCAACCTCCTTCCTGTATACTGAATACAAGTACCTTGGTATCTTCATGGGTGTATTTGCTGCAATCATTTTCCTCTTCCTTGGTTCAGTCAGGGGATTCAGCACCAAAAGTGAACCGTGCGCATACAACCAGGGAAATACTTGCAAACCGGCCCTGGCGAATGCCTTGTTTAGCACGGTTGCTTTCTTGCTGGGGGCTCTTACTTCGGTCCTCTCAGGTTTTCTAGGGATGAAGATTGCAACTTATGCCAATGCCAGAACAACTCTAGGCGCAAGGAAAGGAATTGGTAAGGCATTTATAACAGCATTTCGTGCCGGTGCGGTCATGGGTTTTCTTCTCGCTGCTAATGGCCTTTTGGTGCTATTTGTATCCATCAATCTGTTTAAACTGTACTATGGTGATGACTGGGAGGGACTGTATGAATCTATTACTGGTTATGGTCTTGGTGGTTCTTCTATGGCCCTCTTTGGAAGAGTTGGGGGAGGAATATATACGAAAGCAGCTGATGTCGGTGCTGATCTTGTCGGTAAAGTCGAACAAAACATCCCTGAAGATGATCCGCGAAACCCAGCTGTAAGTTGCCACACTAGCTGAATATTTTAGGCTTCTTCATAAGAACAATGGTAGATACTTCTCGAACTCTAACACTGCATTTAAACAGGTTATTGCTGATAATGTGGGCGATAATGTAGGAGACATTGCCGGAATGGGATCTGATCTATTCGGATCTTATGCCGAATCATCATGTGCAGCTCTTTTTGTTGCATCCATATCATCCTTTGGAGTCAGGCATGAGTTCACGGCAATGTCTTATCCCTTGCTCATTAGCTCAATGGGAATTGTGGTATGCTTGATAACTACACTCTTTGCAACTGATCTCTTTGAGATTAAGAATGTAAGTGAAATCGAACCATCCTTGAAACGACAACTTCTTATCTCCACCGTTCTCATGACTGCCGGGATCGCCGTGGTTAGTTTCTTTGCATTGCCATCGGAATTCACTCTGTTCAATTTCGGAACCGAAAAGGCAGTGAAAAATTGGTGTGCAACCTGTAAACTGTTTTCTCTTCATTTGAAGGTCGCCTTCCCTTTGCTTTGTTTAACAAGTCTTGTTGATCATGTATAATGCAGGCACCTTTTCTTCTGTGTTGCTACTGGCTTGTGGGCTGGACTTGTTATTGGTTATATTACAGAATATTACACTAGCAATGCTTACAGGTAATGATGTTTCAGAGTCTTCTTCGGTGTTGTAATCGTTAGACTAAACTCATAGAAAGCCTTTGGATCTTTCATTCTCTATTTCCCATGCTTATCACCCTCTTCGGATATGTTTGCAGTCCGGTGCAGGATGTGGCAGATGCTTGCAGGACAGGAGCTGCAACAAATGTGATTTTTGGGTTGGCTCTGGGATACAAATCTGTCATCATTCCCATATTTGCCATTGCCATCGCTATTTACGTGAGCTTTCGCTTAGCTGCAATGTATGGAATCGCAGTCGCCGCTTTGGGAATGCTCAGTACTATAGCTACCAGCCTTGCAATTGATGCTTATGGTCCCATAAGTGACAATGCTGGTGGTATTGCAGAAATGGCTGGAATGAGTCACAAGATACGCGAAAGAACCGATGCTTTAGATGCTGCAGGAAACACCACTGCAGCTATTGGCAAGGTAAATTTTATGTTAATCCATTGATCTTTTTATTCCAATTCATTGTTGGTCCTTCCGCTGAAAAGAATGCCATGCTGTGCCCTTTTCGTTTCAGGGTTTCGCAATCGGATCAGCAGCCCTTGTTTCGCTTGCTTTATTTGGTGCATATGTTAGCAGAGCAGGCATCAATTCCGTCAACGTACTGACACCAAAGGCTTTCATTGGGCTCATAGTAGGAGCTATGCTCCCTTACTGGTTTTCAGCCATGACAATGAAGAGCGTGGGAACTGCAGCTCTCAAAATGGTCGAAGAGGTTCGTCGGCAATTCAAAACTATTCCAGGACTAATGGAAGGCAGGACCAAACCAGATTATGCAAATTGTGTCAAGATTTCAACCGATGCCTCACTCCGTGAAATGATCCCTCCTGGCGCGCTAGTTATGCTTACTCCGCTTATAGTCGGAACCCTTTTTGGAGTTGAAACTCTCGCTGGGGTTCTAGCCGGCTCACTAGTTTCTGGTGTCCAGGTACCAAATCTATCATCACTTTTTATCAGCCTTACTTCATCTGAACAACATTGTGATCATCAAGTGTCTCCATAGGTTGCCATCTCAGCTTCAAACACAGGAGGAGCGTGGGATAATGCCAAGAAATACATTGAGGTAATGCAAACGTTGTTTAGCTTTTGTAATCTTTGTTGATGTAAGTGTTCAGTGATGAACTGATGGACAGAGAGACGGTCGTCCCTGAAAATTTTAAATTCTCATGTATTTTAAATATATATATTTTGTGTTTGTAAAGGCGGGGGTCGGCGAACATGCAAAGTCATTGGGTCCAAAGGGTTCGGAATGTCACAAGGCAGCAGTGATAGGTGACACAATAGGAGATCCACTCAAAGACACTTCGGGTCCATCACTCAACATACTCATCAAGCTCATGGCTGTTGAGTCTTTGGTTTTTGCCCCTTTCTTCGCCGCTCATGGAGGCTTGCTCTTCAAATTCATCTGAATTTCAAAACCTACCCTTCTTTTACATACAAGGTACCTGTACATGTATAAAAATAAAATATTGTGCCAATAGTAGAGATGTAAATTAAGGAAATGGTGGAAGTTTTGTGTAAGAATAAGATGGACAATTTTTTCCCAAGTGACCCCTAATTATCATTGTTAATTTTTTAACCGTGGATGAAAAAAATGAAACCAAAATGTAATGTTAACTATGATTCTGAAAGAAAGAATAGTTGACTGATCAAAACGAAATAAAAGTGATAGTTGGGTACTAAATATATAATTTACCCAAAACATTATGTGTTTTTCCTCGTCGAATCCCATTCTTTACTTTATCTCATGAGTAAATTTCATCACATGTCCCGAACTATGACCTTAATTTTAATTTGACCCTTAAATATTTAATATTTCAATTTCATCCTCAAACTATTATTCATTCTAAATTAGTCATTAAACCTTTGAGCACTTCAAATTCATCCTCAAACTATGACTCTCATTTTAAATTGGCCCCTAAACTTTTAAATCTTCCAATTTCATCCCTGAAGTCATCCAAATATGTAATTAGTTTCAACCATAGTTTAACCTAAATTTTACTTTTTAAAACAAAATAATATGAATTACCCTAATGATTTTATTATCAAGAGATGTGATTAGTATATACATATAGTTTAGGATGAAATTGAAATATTTAAAAAGTTTAGAGACTAATTTAGAATAAAAGTTAGAGTTTAGGGATAGAATTGAAATATTTAAAATTTTAAGGACTAATTTAAAATAATAGTCGTAGTTTAGGGGATAAATTAAGATGTTTAAAAGATTATGGGTTGATTTAAACTAATGATCATAATTCGAGGACATGTAATGCAATTGACTCATATTCTTATTGATTTCTTTTCTATAATATTAAAATTAATTAATTATTTGATTAAATATTATAATTTTTTTAATTAATTTAGTTTATTTATAATATTAAAAATGGAATTTTGAATCTAATTTGATCGTTAGTGGGTTATTTTAACCATGAAATAAACGAATATAAAAAACAAAGGTGGAGATAAAACCTTTCAAAGCATCCTCCTCAAAATCCAATCTCTCTCTTTCAATTGCCATCTCTTCGATCATCAAGTCCAAAGGTGTGAGGTAAGAATTCCAATTTCTATATTTATTTAAAATTTTCTAGTTTTAATTAAAAACTCTAACTTGTGTGGTGGGCTTTCTTTTTGTTTCGCAAATTGGAGATCAATTTCCCTGTTAACATCAGAAGAAATCCTTGATTCCATCAATTAGGGTATTATCTCAATCGCTTTAAGATGCCGGCCACCGCAGGGAGGGTTCGTATGCCGGCGAACAACCGGGTGCATAGCAGCGCCGCCTTACAAACCCACGGGATTTGGCAAAGTGCAATTGGGTATGACCCTTATGCGCCTAATAAAGATGATTCCAAAAATCAATCGACTCAGATGACTGCCGCTGCTGAACCTGATGGCGAAAACGCGTATGCTAGCTTTCAAGGGCTTTTAGCCCTTGCACGAATCACTGGTTCAAACGCCGATGAGGCTCGTGGAGCTTGTAAAAAATGTGGGCGTGTTGGGCACCTTACTTTTCAGTGTAAAAATCTCGTCAGTTTGAAGGAGAGTAAGGAGAAAGACCCTGAAGCGATCCAGGCTGCGGTTCTTAATGGACTGGATAAGTTGAAGGGAGGGAAAGTGAAAGAGAAGAAGGAGGTGGAGAGTGAGGACGATGACGAGGAGAGTGAGGATTCGGATTCTGATGTGGATTCGGAGATTGAGAGGATTATTGCTCAAAGATCTGGGCAGAAGGTTACCAGGAAAGGGAGGAAGTCTTCAAAGAAGAAGAAGGATAGTGATGCGGATGATAGTTCTGATTCGGATCATGGGGAGAGAAAGAAGAGAGGGAGGTCAAAGAAAAGGAGTAGTAGGAAGAGGGGAATTAGTGAATCGAATGACGAGGATGAAGGTAGGAGGAAGAGGAGGAAAGAGAAGAGAAAGAAGAGGAATGAATCTTCAGATGAGGAGGATGATCATCGTCGTCACAGGAAAAGAAAGAGTAGGAAGGAGAAGAGGAGAAGAAGAAGTCATAGGCATTCTGATGATTCTGAATCATCAGATGTATCTGATGGTTCTGGTAAACGGCATCGGAGAAACAGCCATAGGCATGAATCTCCCTTCGATTCTGATGTTAGTGGTTCTGACGATTCACGGGTTGGAAGGCGTGTAAAGAGGTCTGGAAGCCCCATCATGAAGACGATGAGTAGAGGCTTGTCAACCAAGGTAATACTTGTTCATCAGTCCTCAAAGATTTTGATGATTTCGTCTGTATTATCCCAACACTATGTTTACACATAATATTCTATTTAGTTAACTACTTAATATATTTTAAGGTGCATTTGAATTTTATGTAGTTTTTCCTGTGGTTTTTTGGTTTCTTCCAAGTGATTGTTAGCTTCCAAAAGTTGATATTGGGTCTGGTTTAAGATGAACTCGATAATGGTATTTTCAGTGCTATAGGTTCAATGATGGGGTTTTATGCATGAATGATTCCACAGTAGCCCATCAATTAGGTATAATCTATATTTTTATGTTGGAACGCTAAAACTTGTATGGCAACAAATTAGTAAATAGAAGAGATGAAGAAAACAGTGTGTTTGATTTAGGCTTTACTACTTATATTGAACTATTAATGTGAGTTTCAGTTGGGAAGGTCTCAAGCGAGAGGTATGAGCTTTGCCTTGCAAGATGTTGAAGGGAATTGAATTGCTTGGGGTTTTCATTTTCCCTTGAATGACCTCCAAATTTGTCTTTTTATTGGCTTTGAAAACATCAATGACTCACTGTCATCACTCCCACATATCTAGATCCTTTGTAAAGCTACTTTTATTTGTATTCCCCAGTTTGCCTGCTATCCTTTGCTTGGTAACATCCCTTGCTTCAAATAATGTTGAATATATCACTTGTTCCTTTTGTGCAATGGATTCCTTTGGTAAAATTTATAGATCAGCATGTGTTACTCTTTTCGTTGTGCTTGTTAAATGCCTATTAAGTTTCTTTCTTGCCAAGTAAGGTCAATGGTTGAAAAATCTTTGATCATATTGTTTATGATGTGATTTATCTATTTATCTCGCAATGAGTTGAGAATCATTCTTTCAAAACCAAGATACGTGCCACTTTTGAAAGGAATTCAACATCCTAAATTGTGCTTTTTGTCAATTTTGCAGGGATTTAAAAGAGTGGGCATAATGTTTGTGCAGAAGTTGCTGATATCTTGGTGGACAAGATTCTATAAGTTATCTGTTATCGTGTGTGATACATCGAACATGTAACTTTTCTTTGAAACAAGAAAAAAAAGATGTAAAAGAATTTGCAGAGGTGTTTTATGTCTTGTGTTCAATTGCCCTTTGAATAAGGCTGAGGAGGTGTTCGATCTCGTGTGTGTGTGTTGGGCATAAGATTGTCATGGACAATTGCTTGTTCCTTGAAGGTGTTGCTATTTAATTTGGCCATCATTTTGTCGTCTTTGTGTAGCAGTTGCTGGGAATTTTGAGAGGGACAATCTGACAGTAAGAGTTTGGAGTTTGAAAAATCGAATTACAATCGAGACATAAAATAATGAACAGTTAACATATAGCGACTAAAAGAGTGCAAGGGGCTTGTGAAGTCTTCTAAATCATAATGTAGGTTGATTATTACACCAACAATTTAATTTGCGGTTGTAATTGTGGTTTCGGTTGTGTTGTATTTCTCACGGACTATTGCAATAATTGTAGCTATTGCGATCATATAATAACAGTTTCGGACGATATTATTATTACTGTATAGCGGGTGTTATTATGAAAACATATTGCTATTTTAATCCTTGTTATAAAGCCCTTGCAACTTAACCCCAATCCCCCTTCCCATTTCTAATTAAATGAATAAAATAGTGTTATAATCATCACCATGTTGGCGGCAAAATGATCAAATGAGGTGTTGAAAAAAAGATTGACTCATATAAAGTAGTGGGGGTTTCGGGAGAATTCTTTTTTAAGATAGGATGATTGCTACAGTACTTGAAGAAGACGCACGGACCACCTAACGGTTTTGGGAAAGACACTACATCTTTTGTTTTGCTTAGCGTTTCAACTACATGGATTTTAAAAGAGATGCATTGTGGTCATCGTGTTTTTTTAAAGACGTATTATGCTCCTGATATTTTCCAGCTAACGTTATAACACATGGCATTACCATGAAAATTTTTGAAGGTATTATTAGAGGAAAATTTTTCCCCAAATTCCTATCTCATCGATTTTGCCCCATGTAGGCATTACCATGAACTATAGACGGAAACCAGCGGATCTCATAACGTAAACTTCTCCAATCCCTTTCGAATATAGCTTAACACATGGCATCAGATAATGACATATCTTAATAGTATTTAATTATTTTAATTTTTTTTCCAAAAAAAAGCTAGAGCATACGGATTTAATAATTTTTTACTCGATCCAATTTTAAAAAGTTAATTCTTTTATTAAAATTTAGATTTGAATGAAGGTGAATTTTAAAATAGGAGAATTGAGTCGAGATTAAAGTTTACCATTAAAACTAGTTGATAATCTGACTCAAAATATATATATTATTTAATCTATTTATAAAGTGCCAATATATATATACATATAAGGTTTCTTCCTTCTTCTTTATTATCATTTCTCTCCCTAATGTCCCTAATTTTTCTGTCTAATTTGTTTTTCAAATATTTTACTTTCCTCTGTTTTGTGTAACTAGATTTTATTCCTCTGTTTTGTGTAACTAGATTTTGTTCTTCTTCATTTCTTCTTGGCTTATTGAAAAATTAAGCAATTAAACTATATCTTTTGATAATTTTAAGTTATTCTTTTAGCTGTTTGGTCCATAACAGCTGTTGAAAAAACTAGTTAAATGACATTCATGTGTTGTATTTATATTTAAAAAAAATTAAAAATATTATTATTTTAAAAAACCTATTTTTTAAGAGTCTCAAAAGAAAAATCCAAATCTTTAAAATCCTTCCATTGTTGGTTGTCATCGTTGTTATTGTCATAATAGCCCCAAATCAATTGTATCATTGTGTGTCAAAATTTTTGTTTTTTTACGCTGATTTTATTACACTTTTCCATTGTCAAAATGCATCATCCTGATCCAAATTATAATTAGTAATTAAATTGAATTTTATAGTAAATGATTGAAGATTGATTTTATTTAATAAGTAAATGTTTATTTGAGGCAAGAATTCTTATGAAATATGCGTTTTCCCCACAATTTCTGTAATAGGATCCGTAATAGGTCATCACAAGTTCTAGCTGATATGGTTGCTATTTTTCCACAATTGCCAAAAATTGTCGAGAATAAAACAACCCACTCAACATTTTCGCACGAAGTTCTGTTAGTAAGGTTCTGCAAAAACCAGTCATCAAACGGACATCAAAGGAATTCAATTAAATTATCAGCTCGAACAACCCTTTTCCAAACAGACTCAACCAATCTACAACGTCGCAAAAACATGGTCAATATCTTCCGACCCTTGGTTACAAATTTGGCACCTATCCATGGCCGAAAAATGTCTCCTAGTTCTCTCGACGTTTGTGAGTAAGCGATCATGCATAACAAGCCATAAGAATGTTCGAATTCTTTGTGGAATCTCAAGTTTACAAATACTTTTCCAATTTATACTCGCCACCTCATGTTGACAGAAAGAGCTATTGGCCGACTTAGTGGTGAACTCCTTATCGGTTTCCCAACGCCAACCGGGCACGTCATCCCCCAAATCTGCTCAAGGAGGCCTAACTATCGCTATACGCTGCAATATACCTGTAACACCCTAAATTCGATTGGGCCTAAAGTACTACACTGGGCTGCCGAGGCTACCCTTGGATTTCAAAACATGTTATTTTTTTAAATATATTGAATGTTATCATAAATAACCATTATAAAAACATTTTACAAAACCGGAACACTATGACACATAATTTTATATAAAACAATACATCTTAAAGGTTACAACTCAAATACATAAGCAAGGTCCTATAAATACATATGCCCACTAAAGATACAATACAATACTCTGTCGGAGATGCTGGAAGTCCTGATACGATGGTGCTCCACGAATGGTCCAGACTAGAAACATGCTAACGAAAAACATCTGAAGGTTGAGCTTACAAAGCCCAACAGTATAATCGCTAATCTAAAACAGCACAAGAATTTATAAACAAAAGCATGCTGAAGACATGACACTAAGGAGTAGGTACATACATGATCTAGGTCAAGTGCTACCTACTTGGGCTTTACTGTTCTAACTCAGACGTAGGGGTCTCACGCTTCCCTTAGTCCTCTTCTAAGGGCCATACCATGAGTACACCTATAAAGGGTCTCTAACCCTAATGATTGAACATGATACACATTATTTGAATGTGAACCTGACATACTGAGAATTATTTGAATGCAAACATGACTAGTAGCTGGTCTAACATAGCTCTCAGACACTAACTACTGAGGGAACCCCGGTGTCACATAGCATCGGTATAATTCTCGTGCAAACTGGAGCATTGGCTCGGTCTCACACAACCTTAAAGCCAAGCTTAAAACAACATACATATCAGACTAATGGATCTATACATGCATGACTAACACACACAAACATGTGAAAGGTCTAGTGGTGTGGTCAGAGGAATTTACGTGCATATCGGAGTAACACCCCATCTTACCCTAAAATAAGAAATAACCTAGAGGTAAGAACCAACATTTACGTGCATCAAAAACTTACCCCACTGAACTGAACTAATGTAACTACCCATGCATATCTAAGGCCCATAGGCGATATAACACTGACATCGCTAACCCACTCCTTGTGAGTGTTTGGGTCCTGCACCCTAGTTAGCCCCTGAGGCGCCATATACATTGACAATGCCCCACTAAGGCAACTAAGGTAACTTGAGTACATCTTAACATAACTAGACTCACCGAAGCGAAGTCGACGTCATCTTGGCTGCTAACTCGTTCGTTCTTTCACCTAGAACGTTATGCGAAGGCTTACATATCATATGAGGAACTAACTAGCCTTTTATCTGGCTTGAGTTCATTTTTGAGTAGCGATACTATATTTGATATTATTGTACTTCCCTTCGAAACTTTTTGAAATGAAAAGGACAACTTACTTTTCATGGGTTCACTGACATTCTCTAAGCTTATACTTTTTGCAACCACTGAATCTAACATAATCATCGTACTTTTTATTAGATGTCTACTGTAACAATCCTCAGTACTAATTATTTGTATATGTCCTCGATCAGAGATATTTTGGCGTATTACGCTTAATATGGTTACACAGTTTCTTTATCACATTATTCGTATACTACACCACCTCGGTTACACGCATATCATTCACAACGATTCATCGTTCGCAAATATTCAATATACTCTCTTTTAAGGGCATTTTAGGGTTTCTTACTCACTAAGGGTATTTTGGTAATTTAGGCCACCTAGGGGGTATTTAGGTCATTTCATAATTTAGGACCCCTACCTAAGCTTATTTGTACATTTTATTGCAATCTATAAACATTCGGATACAACGAGCGATGTTTTGAATATTTTTGTATTGAAGAGTATTGATACTCTACTAAGCAATATGAGTATTCCAACAATATTGATATCGGTACTCTAAGAACAATATTGATACACGTATTGGTACTACAAGAACAATATTGATATTGTTACCCTGAGTATTGATATTGTTACCCTGAGTATCGATATTGTAGGGGCAGTATCGATACTCTCTTTGGCAGTATCGATACTCTCTTTGGCAGTATCGATACTCCAAGTCAAAATCCCTAATATTTACCCCAATTCATATATTATCAATACTGTTCATCCTAGTATCGATACTCTAACTCTAAAACTGATATTTTAGGCTCGATAATTCACCCAAAACCATCCTAAATGACTTGGTTTAGTTTAAACTTTAGTATGAAGTTCTAGTAAGTTGTTTGGGGTCCTAAGGTATTAATTTAGATAAAATTTGATTTAATTTGCCATTGTTTGGCTTGCTGAATTTAGTTTTATTATATATATTATAATTGCCTTTATCGGGCTAGCTGAATCTTATCCATAAAGCTGAGGCATTTAACTAATTGCTCTAGAAGGATAGTTCAAGCTTTATTGTATACATATATAATTACATTATGGGTATACGAATTCAATTTCTTAAGCTTGTCAAGAAGAACTTGTTATAGTCTAGGTGTTGTTGAAAGTAAAAAAATCTTATCTTTAGAGTTCAATTTCCAAGCAACTGACCTAAACTAGATTCACCTACTCGATCATTTCATCTGTGAAGATCATGATCATCATTTAACATCCTCAACAGAAGTGTGGTCTAGTCAGTTTTGTAATGTCATACACAAGAGATGGCCCATGTTTCCCAATCCTATGCATACATGAATACCAAGCCTCTTGTTTATTCCCTTATGAAAGTAGAAGGCTATATCAGTCCCTGCAAGAGAAGGGTAT